TTACAGCCTACAGTAAGGGAAAGAGAATAGTAAAATGAAACTATTTAGGCTTCTAAGATTTCACTTAAATACTTGGAAGATACACCCTGGATGTACTTTTAGCAAAATCTCTATGAAACCTCCCCCCGTCCATGCTCAAATCCTGATATTACAATGTGCAGTTTCAATTCTATGCCAGATTCCCACAAGGCTTCACATCCAAACTCACAATAAATCATGAGTAATAGTAAATAAGTTAATAAATCACTCACGCCAACTGACCCAACTGAGTGGTGATGCTTCCTGTAGCCCACAGTGCTAAACTTAATTACACTGTTTTGAATAATTAGCTCATTGGCATTCCTGTGCTAAAGAAAATGTCATCAGTAATTTATAGAAGCTGCACAAAGAATAATAGTTCAGAAAAGCCCCGTATGAGATTAATTAATCTTACACCTCCAAGAAAGTCATCAGAAGGTCCCTGTAATGATATCCCCCAGAGTTATCACTGCGACGGGCAGAAGTCAAGCCAAGCTCTTCTCAAGCACTGAATGCTGCAACACTGTAAGCCTGTTGGGAATACTGCTTTTGGGAGTTTGCTGGAATCCAAAACGAGGAGGAAACAAATCCCAGCTCCTGCAGGAAAGGAACACACTGATTTTCCTTTCCAGAAGGCCTCTCCACACTCCCACCAGCATCCCCAGATCTCCTGGCCCTCACATCGTTCCCATGAGTCCATAATCTCTTCAATATTTCACATCTTTCCACCTTACTTTACCCTCAGGAGATAACCTCACACCCTGGTGCTATTGCTTCACTAAATCTGTTAGCTTCTCTTACCCTGCTTTGCATATCCTTATCATTTCATTATTCTGCAGCATTTTGCAGCTAAGAAATGTTTGAATTAAGTAACATTCACAAAAGGGAGTTTTATGAAATGAAGGCATCTGATCAACATCAGATGTTCATCTTATCAATACAAATCACTGGCAGGAAGAAGCCTAGGTGCTTATCTTGGAAATTCAGACCTCACAGGCTCCAAAATCCAGGATTCAAAATGCTCTCTCTGTTGTTTTAGCTGAGTGTGAAGGAGAGTCCTGTCAACAATCTGGGCAAGGAGTGAAGTCCTTAAAACTGTACATATTTTACATGCACACAACTTCAGTTGCTGTAGAGAGTATTGACTGCCATTTCCAAATTACATTTCTTTTCAAAATATTTCAGTAATAGAGTAAAGCACGCCTGTGTGATGCAGAGCAGTCCGCAGTCACAGCTGAATGGGTTTTGGATTGAGCAATGCTGAAGCAGCACTCCTGTTCTGAGATGAGGATTCCAGGAAGCAGCTACTGGCTTACGTCCTTGGTCCAAAATGGAGAGATTGCAATGACTTTTTTAGGAGAAGAATGATGACATCATAAATAAATAATGTTTATTTTTTATCCTGACAGTAGCCGAAGTGAAATACTTAGTGACACCAAGCTCTTAATTGAACCTTGTGCTGTGTGGTGATGTTATCTGGCTGTGCCCTAACACCAAATTGTCAGCCATCTCAGGTCTTTGCCAGTGCTCATGAAGATTTACGTTCTTTGCATCAGTTTGATTAACTCAAACCAAAAACCAAGACAGCCCTTCTGCTCCAATTCCTCTGTTCTTCGTTTGTGGTGATAATAAAACAAACACTGAGGAAAGTTTTGCTTTTGTCTTTCATTATACCTTACGACAAAGATTTCAAGGCTCAGCCCAAACGGAAATCTCAGCAAAAAGAAAGAGGTTGCAGAGGGACACAGACAGATAGGATGAGAGGTAATGGCCTTAAGTTGTGCCAGGGGAGCATCAGGTCGGATATTAGGAACAATTTCCTCTTGGAAAGAGTGGTCAGGTGCTGGCATGGGCTGCCCAGGGGACAGGGGTGGGGGGTCACTGTGCTGGGGTGTTCCAGGAACGTGGAGATGCAGCCCTGAGGGACATCAGCAGAGGAGGGCTGGGGTTGGGCTTTGGCATCTCAAAGATCTTTTCCAACCTGAATGATTCTATGGTTCTACAACAGTAGCCCAGAATGTTCTGTGAAGATCATTTCCACAGCGTTGGGGTGGCAGAACCTCAGCCATTGTCAGCAATGCTAAGTGAAAGCAAGGTCTTGCTGAGCACACAGCTCCTGGGCACCGAGCAGCTGCCTCATCTTTGTCCACTGGGTCTGTGGCTTGAGAAACCGTAATCTGCTGAAAACAGTGGAAATTCCCACAGGAAATTTATTTTAAGGCTGACCTGTTTTATAAATAATTCACTGCAATTGACAAGAATCAGAATAAAAAACAGTGAAGTCATCTTAAACTTTTAGATAGAATTTAAAGAGAAAAAAAAACCCACCTGATCTGACACAATCGATGCAAAAGTCACTCCCAATACAGAACAAATGCAGAACAAAAGAAGGAGGCAGATGAAAAGGAGCAGCTGTTGCCTGAGACCAGCGAACTGTGAAAGCAAGCATCTGAATGCTCACAGCTGTAATGGCTTTTGCTATGAAGCTCCCAGCACTGCCTACAACGCGCTGCAGGCTGACCTGAGCTACCAGCAAATCAGCTCAGAAATGGCTGGAAGTCGATCACCAGAACCAGGCGCAGAGCATCACAAGAGAAAGACACCGCAGCCACGCACCCACTTTGCTCTTCTGTTTGCCTCCTGAGTCACTTCTTGACTTTTCATCTTTTCCTTTTCCCTGAAACCATCAGACGAATTCTAACCCAGGAAAACACACAGCCTTCACCTCCAGCATCCCGGGAGAGCCAACAGCATCTCTACCTTTTAATAACCTGTATCTCAACACTCTCAGTTTACTTATAAAGTAACCATGAGATAAAAGACCAGCGTACACCATGGCATCCCTGGGACATACTTAGAATCCCAGGCCTGTTTGTCTACCCCAGCTGTGTTTTGTTTGATGCAGAAGCACATTTATCAGAGCCCAGTTTCCACATCCACAGCCAGTAAAATCCTGTGGCAAAAACGAGTCGTTTCAACATAAAACTCAGCAGAAAAAAGTTAATTGAAGGTCACTCGTTTGGTTCTTCTTCTTCTTAAAAATAAAATAATAATTGAAGTGCCTCCAGAGACGCTCAGCATGGGGTAAAACAAGGCAATTTTGTTACAGCTGATGGAATTAGCATGAGATAAGTAAAGGTTAAATGTCAGCATGGAGTGTGGAGGATTCCAGGAGGGGACAGGATAAGCATAGGGCTGTGGATGCTACAGCCTGCAGCTGGCTGGGGGATTTCACAGCTACCTTAGGATGCTCACTGTCTCTTACAACTAAAGGTGAAATTGTTAAGCTTTTTTTTTATTTTTTAATGTTTGAAGAATTTATCTTCAGTGCCATCCACGTAAGAGAGCAGATGGATATAGTGACTTTGAATGCTGCCCTTCATACAAAGCCATCTGCCAATAATTCGGATTATAAGTTACAGCTAATGTGAAATATAAAGGAAGCAAAGAAGATATTGAAATATGAAATAAGAGAGTAATTTCTCAAGGTAAGATCCTAAACAAAACATAGTCAATGAAGCTGAGAAATCCAAGTAGGTTACTCTACAGATTACAGAGAGAAGAGTTCCCCAGTATGCAGATAAAAACGTCAGGAGCAAAGAAGAGTACAATAATATGACATTTCTAAATAAATACAAGTGAATCTAAGCTTTATTATCACATTTCCTTTCTGACAATAAAAATGAGTTGTGAAGAAAAAGAACAGCCTCATCATTCTGCCGGCTGCTTTTATCTCAAGGAATAGGCTCCAAGATTGCATCCTTTGCATTCTGTACTTCCCATCATTCTGCATGAGCAGCTGCTCCCCCCATCACTGCCATTTACCACCACAGAGCTCAACACGGAGGGAATGCAGCATCTCCAGCAAAGGCACCCCTGCACTGACTGCAGCTCCGAGATGGGCAATGGGATTTCAGCATCACTGCTCCATTTCGCTAATAACGAGTAATTATCCATGTGTTCGTTAAGCAACATAAGACTGAAGCAGTGATCCCAGAAGCCCAATCAAATTGCACTTGCAGCAAAACTGACCTGCTAAATCTCAGCAAAGAGAAACCTCACGGGCTGCTCAGGAGCTCCTGTTAAGTCCCACACGAACATAAGAGTGAACAGCACCTTTATGACTGAGCTTCCGTAACTTTATAATGGGCATTTATCTATTATCAAGTTTCACTAAGAACGAAGAAAACCACAAATACAGATACTGCAACCTTACAGAGGTACTCAAGAAGGAAAAATGTTTTAAATTCAAAGTTCATGCTGCATCAGAGTGTCAACCATGGGCTGCTCCCACTCCAGGCAGGCCCAGCAGCACTTGGCCTGTGCAGGATAAGGCATGCAGGTAAGCTGCCAGCCCACAAGCTCACATTCAGTAACAGCAATTTGAAGGTGCGTGCATAAAAGCAGCACATAAACGTGCACAAAGAAATCTGTGCGTCACCGACGTGTATTTTACATGGCTCTACAAGGGAAGTTCTTACAGAAATTCCTGTAGGAAGAGCTGTGGAATCTCAGGGCAGCAGTGGGACCCCTCATTCCACACCATCCTCAAACCCTGCACTTTGCTTCCCACCTGGCTCTGTGTCTGTCTGCCACCTTCAACTTCCAGTTCACCAGAAAATAGCACACCAAATAGCAAGAAGTCTGTTGCTAAAACCGCATTAGGTTTCTCTCCCCAGAGCAGACTGATATCGAATTAAAAGAGCACCATAGAAAGACATTTTCCAAACTCTCTATCAGCAGTTGTTTCTCAGTGCCCAGACCTCAGAGCCCCACATGTCCCAGAGCACCATATGGGGCTGTGGATGCATTCCCAGCACTGCAGTGCAACCTCTGCCTTTGTGGAGCACCACCCAAGGCATCACAAAACCAACCCACTGACCACCCCAGAGCAAAGGCAAACAACGTCCCATTCCCCAGCTCCCCAGCACTGCAGGCACCACCAGGACCAGACACAGTCTGGGGGAATGGCCATAACTCACCCACTGGTGCCGTGCCTTGCTGTTACATCTGCAGATGTGACAGACTGGCTAAACCCACTGAGGGCAGCAGGAATGTTTTGATTCCATCACCAGAACTGGCATCTAGTTCAGTGTCAGGCTTCACCTCCAGAAATAGTTCTCACAGCTCAGGCAGCTCATTTTCCTCCTGAGCTGTTGGCAGCCAGTCATCTACCACTGCTCCTAGAAACAAGCATTAGTGACAGATGATCTGAGGGCTGTTAAACTTGACAAGGATGTAGTTCAAGTCCCACAAAGCCTCGTGCTAGGCCTACCTGGGAAGTGGCAGTTCCTCCTCTCTTGGCACCTGTGGAATTCAACATAGGGCACCCCAGCATCACAGTGGGGACTGGGTCTCCTTCGTTCCACCAATGCTGACACCAGTGGGACATCGCAGGGATGCCCAGACCTCTCCAATGATGGATTTGTCCTATAAATACAGAGAGCCCTTCAGCCTTCAGTGCACAAAGCAACTCAGTCAGTTACAACAAGAGCCTGGATTATTCATCTCTCTCCTTCACAGGCCCCCAAATTGAGAAATGTTCTCTTTTTAAATTATTCATGACATTATTATTACTGTAAGTCAAAGCACCGTTTAATGAAACAGCATTTTCAAAGTATGTTTGCATTAAAACCAGAATGCCACATAGTTAAGAAATCATCTCTCTGTTAGTCTGCTGAATCACAAGAAAAACAGGTCCAAATCATGTTTGCAACTTGAGATATAACTCCTCTCTGCTACTCAAATCAATACATCATTTAATTGTGTTCTATTGCTTTCTTTGCTTCCACACGGGGTCAGGAAGGACCCTGAGAACATCCCAGTTGCTGTTTTCCCAAGTTGCTTTCACTCGACACGCACCTGGACTTGAATTTCAACCTTCAAGCCTTCTCCAGCTGCAGGGCAGCAGGGAGACATGAGCGAGCACACAGCCGAGGCAGGCATTGAGCGTCCCTCTGGGCTGTGCCTCATGCAGAAGCTCTTCCTCTCAGCTCATCTTCTGAAGCTGCCAATGAAACTGTGATGGGAAAAACATGCAAAGCTATCAGTGCTAATCCCAGCAGGTGAAACCCCACGCAGTACCTATGGGCCCCTTTACCTCCCTGGCTTTTTTGAACAGTGGAAGTATTTCTGAAGTACTGGTTGGTCTGAAGTTAGATATCCGGGTTCATGCTCTGTCTTGCACCCCATGGCTTTCACCTCTCTGACTCCAGCACATGGAGCTGACTGCTCTGTTCTGACTTCACCCTGGGAAATATCTGTGGTTCGGTCAGAATCGAAGCCTAAAACTCAAAACTAATACATCTGAAAATAAACTACTGTTATTTATTCTCCACGAGTATCTATGGAGAGACATTCAATTTTTAGGAGTATTTATTTAAAGTTCAAAAAAAAAAAAACTAACTCCAGACCTGAAATTAATTTTATCTCATAGGTTGGAAATGCGGTTCAGAGCTTGAGTGAAGAAATTAAAGGAAGGCTGTGCCTCATCCAGCCATCCGTCTCCCAAAAGGCACACGGACGGAAATGGACCCTCAGTGCCGCTCCCAGTTGGCTGCAGCATTAAGCCTGACTGCTCTGTACTGCCTTCTAATGACATTTGTTAGGGTCTGGTATGGGTACATTCATCCCTGGGAACCAACTGATGACCTTCAGGGGAAAATCTGCCTTATATGCACTCAGCTCCTCCTCTTGAGTCTGGTTAGAGCAAGCACTGATTTGCCATTTCTCCTGCTTCCCACCGGTGCTTCAATCTGTCCCCTGCTTTTAGACAGGCATTTCTTTTTCAAAATACATAAATAGAAAGATTGCAGAAATTAAGTAAAGATACTAGAAGCCTCCAATTATATAGAAACAAATTGGCACCTGGAGGATCGTATGGCAAGATAAACCTTCCCACAAGTGTTTATTTTTTCTTAGTAAACAGAGACGCTGGAAGCAAAAATTACCGCTTCCTGCAAACAGCAAAAGGATTTGTTTGGTAAGCTGAAAGCAAAACAGACAAATGTGCCGCAGTTATATTTGTATGAAAAAAGCTTCCATGTAGAACTTGAGTCCGTGCAAGTCTCCCAAAGGCATGTTGTGTTTCATCTGCACAGCTGGCATACAGGACCTCCTGCTCAGATCCCCCCAGAGCCACCACCTTGACCAGAGCCGCAGGTCCATCCCAAAGCACAACAGTCACCTTCTGCACTTTCTTTTCTTCCTTCGTGGCCATAAAGAATCCATGTATTTGAAGAAGCATTTTTCCTCCGTTGTGCACCAGTGGTTAATTCACCACACTGAGAAAAGCACTACTTAGAGATCAATTTTACAGCTGGAATTGAAAAAAATACAAAGAATAACCACTCTATTCCAGACATGATGGCAGAGCGTGGATTTGAAGCAGTCTCAGACTGCGGAGATGTCACTGCCCGCACCTCCAGCAGCAGCCACTGGCCCCATGACTTCCAGAGGTACAGGAATGGCACACAGAACCAGCGGGGTTTGTTGGAGGTGTGCTCCATCTCATTGTCTTCCATCCATAATCTTACTGTTGTTCCAGCACCCAAATTAGGATACATCAAGATGATAACAAGACTGCAACACATTTAAAAAATAAAATCCAACGGTGCTGTAATATTTGTGTTGCTCCATTTCCCACTGCTAACTTTCTAAGACAAGGGTGTCAGTTCTTGCAGAGATGCAAAGAGCTGAGTACATAACCAAACACACAATGCACTTACTCCAACAGGCAATCCCTGGAAGGACTTTTTGCATCATGGTCACGATGCACGGGAAGAGCACAATGACATCCTCATCTGGGTCCTCTTGTGGCCAGCTGCCCCCAAAGTCTCCTTGTGCCCACTGCTGCTAAGGACTGCCAGGTTCTGATGACTTTGAGTATGAAGAATGAATCAAGCTGTCCAGAGCTGGAGGTTACACAGCCAACAAGAGAGAGGTGAGACAACACAGGTGGTCAGGAAGAGACCGAATGGGAAAAACACGTGATGAAATACACATGACAGGAGTGGCACCAACCCCCTCATCTCTGTGCTGGTACTGAGATGCTAAAAGCAAACAGTAAGAAAGCAAGATGTTCTTTCTCTGCTGCTCCTGAACACAGAGCCCATCTGGCAAAGCTCACAGATCTGCTGTCCAGCTATATTTTGAATGCTTTTACATTCCCCAAATTGGCTATGTCTTCTGATATAACTCAGTACATCATACTTCACAGAGGATAAGTAACTTCCTTTGCATATCTGTGAGCACAGAGCACCATGAAGCTACCCAGAACTGGTACTCACAGCAAAAGAACTAAATAGAGGTCTGCCCTCTCTCTCTACTTGTTTTTCACCTAAACACCAAGCTGGCTGAAATGGTGTCTACAATGGTGTCCTTTATGTCTACCAGTGCATCTCAGCCTTATTTTGAGCAAACAGAACATTTCAGCGCTGCCGACAGTACAGTGCTTTAACAGCCACTTACTGAGATCTGCAGGGGTGGCTGAAATCTGCCACCACATTAATCTCATCCTGTAATTAGCTACCTGGGGAAGACATGTATTATTCAGAGGACCTAGGTTAAAGAAAAAATAGCCCCAAGGGTGCAAAACTTCTGACATTCCTCCCTTCCCAACAGCAAGAAGGGATGCACATCCCTCACTGCACTGACACAACATGGGACAGTTTTGCTCTGTGTGCTGCAAAGCGCAGTCCTGACAGATGAACTGAAACATCACTGCAGAAATCAAAACGGCTTCTGATACGAGCACAAACCCCTGCACATAAAGATCTCCAGCAGCACGTTATAAAGAGGCTGCAAGGTATCATACAATATTTATGAGCACGAGATATCTACTATAGATTAATTCATAAATCCCCCATCCATAATTTATAGTCTATTTACAGAGCAGAACAGTCATTGCACAGCAACCACCACAAATGCATTCACTTAAACTTCAGGGCATTTGTAATGACTGCTCGGAAATAAGAAGGCCATAACAAAGCAGGCACAGTTGAGGACTGAAATGCACAGGAGTATAAAGAAAGGAAAGGCATTTTTAAGGCAACTGATGTGCTATAAATTTTTAATGCTCTATAAAATCTTTCATTTACTTAGAAATATTTATATAACATTAAGTGCATTACTCCAACTCAAAGGAAGAATTAGTCTTAACGTGTTTCATGGAGCACTTGGATTTTCTACCCTGGATTTTACCTCCATACTTAACCCAGCACAAATTATTGTCTAAGATTATTCGTATCAAAGCAGCACACCTTCACTTTCTCAAAAATCATCCCTGAACACAACTGCTGTCTCCAGGGGATCATCCCAAGCATCCGTCCATTAGGCTTTTAGGGTAGTGTGCAATAAATCGGATGATTAAAACCTGAACAGCTCAGTAATTCATGCACGTGCAATGCACACTCCTGTACATGGAAGTGCCTGAAGGCCTTGCTCAGTACAGGGTTCCTTCTCCTCCACCAGCTGGCTGGAGGAAGACACTTGGCCACAGGGCTCTTATACCAGACAGCAGGTTCCCACCAGAAAACTGACATGCTAGAAAGCTGTGGTGTTCCTGCAGCTCACGAGGCCTGGGTTACACAAGGAGTTTGGGTTTCTGGTTCAGTTGCTGTGATAACTGACAGGTGCAGCTCAACACAGGGCCACAGCTCTCGTTACTCAGCTAATTGAGCTTCCTGGGACAATGTACATCATTCTCTTTTTGACGATGGATTTTGTTCATTAAATGTCTTCACAATGATCCTTTGCATACACGCAAAGGTTTAAAGTTGCTGTTAATTTTAACAAGCTCTCAAAACGAGAAAGAAAGGTCTGGGGATTTTTTTGTTTTTGTACAAGTCCGCATTCACCTCCCAGCCAGAGCCGTACCAATGAGTGTCAGAGATGGGACACAGCTGTCCAGGAGTGCAATCTGCCCTGCACACAAGGCTGCACAGGGAAAGAAACAGCAGAGAAGTATATTACTGACAGTGGAATATGTCACATCTCCAGCACAGCTCCCCAGCAATCTGTCACCAAGCCATCAGTGCAGCGACAGCCGCCTGGTTCTGCTGGTGGCACTGCCACTCAGGGATGAGCTCTGTTGTTCACATTGTTTTGGTAAGGAGCTACAGCTAATTAGTTATCTAAACCTTACTTATCTGAGGTTCAATCATCTCACCATGATCTCTGCCACATCTATCAGAACTGCTTGTGTTTGCAGCACTAGATCTGGGAGGTAAATCCTCCAGCATGGTGTTTTTCACTCTTCTAGTCACGTTTAATTGGCTGCCACAGACAAAGCTTATTTATGTATTTCAGCTTCTTTAGTCTCTGGTCACTGCTCTAGTTTTCGTTAACACAATCCATCACATGAAGCAGTGGGTTATTTAAGAAGATCAGTGAGACTTACCACCAGAACCACGCTCACAGTCACAAATGAAATCACTGTGTTTTAGAAATCAGTTGAGCATGAACTTGGAAAGTTACACGGAACGTGTTCCCTTGGTCTGTTTCACATAGCTGTGTAGATGGGAGCCCAAAAGAGTCCATCCGACAATGCTTAACGTATCAGAAGGACAAGCCTCCACCTACAAAATCTGCTGTTACGTGTGACACGCATTCATCTTTTAAAAGAAAGAGAAATCCTTAAATGAAACAGGAAAACAAAACAGATTAGGCATGCCGTTCTGTTGGCAATACCTCGACCAATTGATGTCAGTTATGATTATTCCCATGCCCCCATGAAACCAGCCCTCTCTCACACAGGTAAAGGGGGACATTGATGGCAGGGACACCTCAGCACTGACACAGCTCAGGTTTCTGGACAAAGAGCCAACTGCCTGACCGCACATCCAGTGGAAGTCTGTGACGTTCAATGCTGCTTCAAAACACAAGCCTCACAGCCATCAAAGAGCAACAAGAGAAAAGTCATTTTTCATTATACTTTCAAGATGCTGCTGAGACAAAGCTATTAAACCGAGTGCCTGATATATGCAAAAGGTTGAACCATTCCACACACACTCCTTGCGCTGCCTCTGCAATGAACAAAGGTCACTGATGACAACAGGAGGCAGAAATTGGGCTATTTTCTTTGGAGAGGTTGGAGTACATCTGCCAACTTGCTTCAAGCCGTGTTCACTACCTAACAGGAATATTCTGGCCCTTGATAAATCATTTTTCAAGCCAAGACGGAACAGCTATCTCTAAACCCACCTTATTGTTGCTCCAATGGGCTGACTTATTAAGAAATCCACTTCAGCTCTCACTTCCCAACTCACTGCTGGTGACTTTGGAGAAAAAAATTTCCCACCCACCACAGAGGCTTTCCCCTGGATACTGGCAGAGCTTAATGCTAATCTGCAGAACATGAGTTAAGAGTAAGTCAGTGTGTCAAGTGTAAATATTCTGTGTCCAGACGTGCTTCAAGTTCAAGGCACAGGGGAACTTCTCCAGAAGCACTATGCTCCCCAAGCCTCACTGACAAAAGTACACACAAGATCTTGGATCAAAGGAGGATAATCAGAAGCCAGACTGGTATTCACGAAAGGAGAAGCAAAGCATTTGGCACATGCATGCAATTGAACTGCACGTGGACCTACTGTGGGTGCAGTGGGCTGTATGCCACTTACCCTGGGAACTGGTAGCATCCACCTTTCCAAAGCTGCTGGCACCAACCAGCGACTGCTGCCACCAATCCATGCATCTTAGTAATCACCTGCATACTCGTGAAAACTGCACTGTAGTGTTCATCTTCAAGAAGAACTGACTGAGAGAAATTAGTAATAAAATGCAAGAATGTTTAATTGGCATATTGTTAGCAGAAGGACATAAATTGCCAACTATAACACACCAGATAAATAAGCATTGCTAGCTTGCTGAGGACTGAAGCGTTATCATGCATTTCACATGGAGATTTAATTATTCAGAAAGCAAATGAATTATTTTCAAGCTTGCATTTCCTTGTTTCATGTTGTCCTTGTGGCTTTTAAGTATGTTTCCAAAATCTTTTTAAATCCAAGCACTCAGAATTCAGCTTTTCTGTTCTTCTATGACAGCATGGAGCTGGGAACAGAAATCGTTGTCTCACTTTTAAGATCTGCAAGACTCAAATCATACTTGTAAAATCTAAAAATGTCAAGCCTTCAGCAACACAACCAATACCTTTCCATAGGAAGAGCCTGTTGCTGTCAATGTCAATCATATCAACGGATTTAAATACAGTATATTTAGCATTAGCACTTTTTAGCTCCTCAACTCAAGCAAGAGGTTAGCCAAATTTAGATCTCAACAACCACCGTGTGGTTGGATCAATTTAATCACTTTTAATTTTTTCAAATCTACCAAGACCTTGAGTGAGAAAGACCAATCAGAATGGGCAGCTCTGCTTCTGAGACAGATAATCCCCACACTCTTCCCTGACCCATAATTTGCAAGCTTACAGATACCCACCCCTAGTTGCTTCTTCCAGTTCCACTTATAAAAACTATTTTTTAGCTGGAGCAAATTTTAAAATGCAAGTAAAATCAAAAATGCAATCTCCAATGTTACCAAATCTAATGAGTTGTTTAATTACCCTTGAAACAAGACCTTGTGAAGATCCAACAAACTTTAAAGTGCTGCGTCACCAAATCAACAACCACAGAGATTGCTTGCAACACCCAGGTGCAACAATCTGATCGTGGGACACCAGAGCAAGGTGAGGACTTGGCCATTAACTGGCAGACAGTAAAGAAACTTCAGCTTTTCTGCTCTCATGCTTTTCATCAGGGAAGGAGCCTTGCTAAGAGGGGAGCTTCCCAAAACACAGCGTTCAGTGTATTCAGCTCATCTGCTGGATGGCACAGAGCACGATAACGGCCATTAAGGCACTGACTCCTGTGACACAAACATGCATTTCAAGAGAAAATACTTCCAACAGAGCTAT